AAAAAAAAAAAAGCTATATCATTTGCGGGAGAAAGGACTTTTTACAAATTGGGTTGAGATACTTGTGTCAGATTGAAAAATTAGATTCATTCATCACATAGTAACTTCCTAATGAGTCAAAAATTTAAATGTGGAAAATAGGGGCGCCTTGGTGGCTCAGTCGGTTGAACGTCCGACTTCGGCTCAGGTCATGATCTCCCAGTCTGTGGGTTCAAGCCCTGCGTGGGGCTCTGTGCTGACAGCTTGCTCAGAGCCTGGAGCCTGCTTCTGATTCTGTGTCTCCCTCTCTCTCTGCCCCTCCCCGACTCATGCTCTGTCTGTCTCTCTCTCTGTCAAAATTAAATAAACATTAGGGGCGCCTGGGTAGCTCAGTCAGTTAAGCATCTGACTTCAGCTGGGTCATGATCTCACGGTCCGTGGGTTTGAGCCCCGCGTCGGGCTCTGTGCTGACAGCTCCGAGCCTGGAGCCTGCTTCAGATTCTGTATCTCCCTCTCTCTGACCCTCCCCTGTTCATGCTCTGTCTTTCTCTGTCTCAAAAATAAATAAACATTAAAAAATAATAATAATAATAAAATAAATAAACATTAAAAAAATTTAAATGTGGAAAATAAAACCATATAAGAATTAGGAGGAAAAAAATTAGTCAATTCCTCCATAACCTGGGCATAGGGAAAACTTTCCTACGATTCAAAATCAGAAGCAACAAAAGGAGTGATAAATCTAGCTACATATTTTCTAAACTTTACATAGAAAACACATGGGCAAAGAAAAAAAATTAAATATATATTTTTTTTCAACGTTTATTTATTTGTGGGACAGAGAGAGACAGAGCATGAACGGGGGAGGGGCAGAGAGAGAGGGAGACACAGAATCGGAAACAGGCTCCAGGCTCTGAGCCATCAGCCCAGAGCCCGACGCGGGGCTCGAACTCACGGACCGCGAGATCGTGACCTGGCTGAAGTCGGATGCTTAACCGACTGCGCCACCCAGGCGCCCCAAAAATTAAATATTAAGAGAAATATTTCTACTTTATATTACTAAGAGACAATATCTCTATTACAAAAAGAGCTTTTAAAAGTACAAAAGAAAAAGACCAAGAACCTGCTAGAAATATGAATTGATGATGGTGCACAATGGAAAAAAATGTGAATGACTCAACCACATGAAAAGACACTCAACTTCACTCCTAGGAAGAAAATGCAAATTCAGAAGAAGGGACTCCTACTCAACCCGGCTACTACCATCGCCAAATGCCTGCTGTGCCATTAAAAAAAAACAATGCAGAGTCCCTGAAATAGCATCGCCCTTTTACAGAAACTAACTAGGTATTTGGTATCAAGGTGACTCCAACAGACCGTTTCATCCTGGAAAGAGCAGCTGTTCACATTAACAGAAATCAACATATAACCGGGGTACATGTTTCCTGCCCACAAGGCCTCAGCTAGCACAACAATATGAGGTATTTAATCCACAGAGTATTTGATTCCACAAAATATCTCCTCAGACCAAGGGATCCACTTTATAGCAAAAGAGATGTAGCAGTGCTCACATGGCCATGGGGTTCCTGGTCCTATATCATACACTGTAACATCTAAAAGATGCCAGCTTGACACAACAATGACAAGCTGGCTGAAGGCACAGCTGATGCATCAGCCTGGAGATGAGATGGTGAGAGGATGGGATGCTAAGCTCCAGGCACAGATTCTAACTCAGTGACCACTATGTGGTGCTGTGTCCCTAACAGGTGGAATACATGCATCCAGGAACCAAAGTGGATTATATGAGTGACCCAACTGACCAACATTCCCAGCAACCGACTTGGGGAATCTGAGCTTCCTGCCCCTGCAATTGTAGGTTCTATAGGTTTAGAAGTCCCAGTTCCCTAAGCAGAAACACTTCCACTAGGAACACAGCAGGAATCCCACTGAACTTTAAGTTACGGCTGCCACAGGCCCTCTGTAGGGGCCTGACTGTTCTTTCCTCCAGTCAAAGAACCAACAGGAAAAAAGAGGAGTCCCTTCCTGACAGGGGCAACTGACCTAGTTGGCAGAAAGAGGTAGAACTGCTATTACATAATGGAGGCAAGAGAGGAATATGCTTGGCAAGGAGGTGAAACTTGGTGCTTTTGGTGCACATTTGCCCAACAGTACTGGTAAACAGAAA